CCCAAAACGCCCCCCCCCCCCCCCGTGAAATCAAGCCCTTCTATAAGGGAAGGGAGCTGGGAGCTTTTACCCACAGGCAAATGGAAAACCCAGAAAACGTCCATCCACTCCCAGCACACACAAGGTGCTGGGGACCTGCCACCCCGTGGGGCAATGAGAGAGGGGCCCCACTCCCCAGTCTCTGCATTTCGCTGAACCCGGGTCAGCTCGCCCTGGTGCCAACACGGCGGGAGCCTGGATTTGGCCTCTCCAGTGGCCTCCGGCGTGGGGCAGCTCACATTTGCTTTATTAATTGCTGTTAATTGTCCGGGCACTGAGGCCCGCCCTGCATAATCTCTCCCGGCCACCCCACCTTTCCGGCCCAGCTCTGGGACCCGGCATCCCCTGGGGATGGGGGAAGGGTCTCGAGCTTGTCTCTTGGGAGAGGGAGACCGGAAGAAACAAACGAGGGATGTGTGCTTGGGCCACGCGCGTCAGGCCAGGCCTGGTGAGTTGCCTGGGGCCTGTGTGACCCCCCGAGGAAGTCGGAACCCGGCAGAGTGTGGGGTCCCAGGGTCTGATGGCAGGCAGCAGGCGGAAAGTCGGTGAGGCTGCTGGTGCAGGTGCCCGGGAGCACACCTTCCTGGAGCGGGTGGCCCTCAGAGCTGGTCACCAGCAGGGTCCCACGGCTTCCCAGGTGCCCTCCCGGGTCGCGCACGCACTCAGCCGGCCGAGTGGCCGCGGGCTGGCTCACCGGTAGCGCTTGTCATCCACCGGCACGAAGTCCATGAGCAGCATGTAGTCCGCCATGGGGTCCATGCCGAACAGCTTCACTTGGAACGTGGGGAACATCCTCCTGGGGGTGTGGGGCCGCAGGTCACCTCGGCTGGGGAGGGCAGGGATGCCCTGGTGGGGACCAGCCCAGGGACCACCGGCTCCTCTGTTCGGCTGTCCTTGCAGCCTCCCTGCCGGCTGCTGTGTGCAGTCGGCCTCCCCTTTCCTTGGCCTCCGCGCTCCCAGCTCGGCGCTCTAACACCGCCAGGCCCTACCTAGGCCACCGCGCCACCACGCCACCGCGGCAAGTGGAGCAGCAGGCAGCTGGGCCCTTTAACCAACCGCTGCGGCCCAGCCTAGAAGCCCAGCCTAGAAGCCCATTCTATTCTGCAACCTGCCCTTGCCGATCTGCAGGCCTTAGAGACCCAGCTTCGGTTGGCAATAGGGCCCCTACGATGAGGGTCCGGAGCTTCTCCACCCTTGGCCAGCCTCCCCAGCTTGATCTGAGCGGCTCCCGGCTCCAGCAAAGTGAAACCCAAGTCGTCCGCCCGCCTGGGAGCCCTGTCCGTCTGTTCCTCAATCTCTCCAGCAAGGCTGAGGCCTTCAAACCCGCACTCTCCAACTCTGGGGCCCTGGCCCAAAGCTGCACTCCCTCTGTACCTTTCTTGGGGACACAGGCAATTTCCTGCTCCCCCCTAAATACAGAACCCCAAATGCAGCCGCCAGCAGAGATATGCCTGTGCCTTCACCATTCTCCAAGTCTCCTTTTCTCCGGACCCCTACTCGGCGACTGACCATTCTGCAGCTCCGGGACGGGCTGCTGGCTACTGTCGCCAAGCAGTACAGTGGTATGGCTCCTGGGCACCCAGAGGACAGTGTGAGGCTTGGCCCTATTGCCCGTTCGCCCACCTCCTTACACAGGCTATTCCCTGCTGGTGGTAGGCAGAAAACAGACGCCAGGACCCTGAACAGGCCTCCTGCCACCCGGACCCAAAGCCTTTGCAGGCTGCGGGGTGGTGCGGAACTTCAGCTCCTGGGGTGGAGAGGGTGGCTGAGAAGGCCTTTGCAGGGCTGGTCTAGGCTGGAGACCAAGCTGATGTCCTCAGGAAGGCCCAGGTGCCCAGGGGAGCCTGGAGAAAACTCGCAGATCTGGGCAGGACACAGGCCCCAGGCTCCCCAAGGAGGGCGGCCACAGCAGGGAAACAGAAACCACCAGAAGGCTTTGCAAACAGCCCTGAGCTCCCCTTGGCTGTGCGGATACGGAGCTGCTGTGTACTTTAGACACAGCCCAGCACTCGCCTTTGTCTGCTGGTCAAATCGGGTGCATCTGCAAAACTTGTTCCCCTTCTCTCTTGGCCCTTAAAACAAATCCAGCCCAATCGGAAGGCGGCTGGCCCGCAAGCCGCGCTCGCAGCAGAGCCAGGCCACACAACCAGGCAAAATCTAGGCCGGAGAAAACCGGGTGCTAAACCGCCACCGAACACAGCACGCTTTTGAAATGGGTCTTAATTCTCTCGGAATATTGCCCGGATAGCCGCCTGCTCGCTGTTCTTCATCTTATCCGCGTAAACCGAACCGGGCACCCCAAGGAGTTTGCTTTGCGGTGGGATCCTCCGGGAGCCGGTTGGGCGGAGGCCCTTCGGAAGCGGCTGCCTGCCC